ACTTTTATTTACTGCTGATATTCAGAAGAACAACTCATATATATAGGACTACTTCAGTTTCATGGGCAATTTAATCCCGTGGTATCCTTGTCCTTGATATCATTAATCTACAATTATACACATATAATTTTCAACTCTGTGGCTAAAATTTCTTCATTTATTTCCTTACTGGTGAACATTATGGTCCCCAATCTCACGAGTTCTACTTTGTACTTTCTTTATGAATACTTAAAATCATCAATTTAGGAGTGCATCCATCAAGTGTTTTCATTATACACCATTTGATGCAAATGGTAAGAAGGGACATAGTACCAAAGACAGAATGAGCGCAGGACTCAAAACCTCAACCCCATTATTTCCAACCTTCGCCATTTCCCCTACTGGGGAAGCCGGCAATAGATAATATTTGCCCTTTCCTATCTTAGCTTGTGGCCTGTTGAAAAAAATCACTTGTGTTTACTGCTGGGTACAGATCTTCTTATGAGGGTTCACTCCTTGATCACTCTGAAACACAAATCGCTTTGTACTTTTTCTGCCACCGGGAGAGTACTTTAAGTTGGTGAGGGTGTTTGTTCTTTTCTTTTGTTTTGTTTGTTTGATTGTTTTCGGCTTAACTTCCTGGGGCATATCTGCTTTCTTGGTTTTGTTTGTTTTTTTTTCAAAATGAAAACATAAAATTCAATACAGGACGTCCATTTAAAAAATGGCAAAACAAGCTCAAAAAGCTTATCTTATTTAGGGTTTTTCACCAGTAGTTGTATCGTAGATTTCTCTTAATGTGAAACACGCATTCAATGATTTGGGAATAGAGAAAGAAAGAATTGTAAATAATGCTCTACGCATTTTATCTCAATTCTTGCCATTTTTCTCTCTAAATGTGGTTTCAGCAGACTAAGCATTCTCATAAAAGGAAAGTTTCTAAAGTTTATTTCACTCCATGTGAGAGGTACATTTTAATTGAAAAAAGTGGTTCTCGTAAAAGCCTTCGACTCTTTTTGACACCGCAGTATTACGCCAAAAACTATTTACACTTACGAAGTGAGAATTACATAACATTGAGAAGCTTTCTGTATTTGAGTATAATGTCTTCAGCAATACAGTTCTGCATATTGTATGTGATATATACGTTGCCCCGATAAGGAAATCACAAGTTATGATTTGACATGTAAACATTCTGCGTATCCCTATTTACATTTTATTGGACGGTAAATGTACGATTTTTTTTCAAACGTGGGCCTCATCCCCCAAATAGGGAATAGTTTGGATTGTTTCTTGTGATGTACTCTTCTTAATCGTCTGTTTTAAATACCTAGTGGAAAGCAAAGTTCTTAATTTTATCGCGCAAAGCAATACCTTTTTAATGCAATGGCTCCGCTCACATATTTAGGTGATCCTGAGAATTTCTCCGACTGTACCCAAACTATGCATAGGCCCCTACAAAGCCAGTGACAATAATCAACTGCATGGAGCAATTCAAGGAAAGTGCTTTTTGGATTATAAAAAGCAAGATACTGCAGCCATGTAATACCTAGCACCTATGACCTCGATTTCCTCACCATAAAGAACTCCCTTATCCACTGCGAATATTAGCAATCAAACGCCTCAACTTGCACGATGCGTCGACTACGTTCGGACAAGAGGTCAACGATGCAGAGATTTTTGGTCTTCCACAACTAAAATCCTGTTTCTGTGCGACGAGGCGGCGGCCCTGTCAACGAAAGGGACCGTCTAAAAGAGTTCACCGAATTCTACCCACTGCGAAAAGGTCCACAGAGTTTTTACTTTAAAAGAAGGAGGTATGGACAGACTTTGATTTTCCGTCCGGCAGTTGTCAGTTGACCATGTCTCATCATAGGCATACTGTAAACCACGTGCTTGAGTAAAGTTTCGAGTGCATTCCATACATTTTGGACATGAGTTTAAACCATGTGTTTAAATTGTCAGTGGGGTGTACATGGGAGGAGTTTAGTTTTGCACAAAGAAAAGAAAAGAAACCTATAATGATAACCTCTTTGCAACAGTCATGTGAAATCAAGGGAAAAAAAGTGGTCGATAAAAGTGTGAAACAAGGAAGTGAAGTACCCTATATGTAATTTTAAAGCGAATTGAAAGTTACCAATGGATATTGCAATGAATATTTATATGTCTCTCAGACATTGTCCTGGCTTCTTATACTAATATGTCCAGCATCTTCCCCTACCTTCGCCTTGAAATTGAAGCTGCAAATGCTGCAAGTACGAAGGGGGGGATGTAACTTCATATTGGCGAATGGACTACAGATTTCAATGCATAACAATTATTCATCATTTTTTTTCTCGACAGAAGTACAAACCTAAAATTGTATTTGCACTGTAGCTACATGAAGCTTGATTATTAAAAGCTGAAATCCACTCAACTACTCTGAGCTTTTCTGTATATGTCTTTCCTTCTAAATAGCGAATCAATCCGTTTTGAAAAGGGGGGGGCATAGCCCTGATCAGAACAAATGCGAGTGTGAAGCGCGAAGCCTGAGCGACGTGGGGTGCAGGCCAGCTAGAGTATAGATGCTATGTGGTGTGATCTAAGACAATTTCTGGCTACTTTAGCCAGTTTTTAAACAACTCTTTTGCAAAGTATACATTTTCTTTTAGGTTTTGGAAAAAATCTCCCACTTGGAAAAGTGCTGGGGGACATGTCCCCCGTCCCCACCGATTACGCCCATGTAGTTCCAACACAAACTTACGTTAAGGGCCCACATCTCTTGCCTGAGTAGGGTGTTTGTGTGAACCAAATAAATTCTCGTAATATGGCAAACTCAGTAAAAAGGTACTTAATAATCACTTAAGCAAATGTGTCACAATATTCCAGTGTAACCAGTAAATTGCAGCCATTTCTGGAAGTTTATTAGTGCCATGCTTTTGACATTTGACAGATTCGTTTTTCTTCAGAATTTTGCAGAGAAAATTAACCCTATAGGTGTGCAATATTGCGAAAATAACGGAGATGGGTCTAGAGTTTATAAATGACCAGTTATACAAGATGGGATTGTGTAAGATCAAGTGTCATAGTAATACTTGTTCATTGCATTTTGCGTCTGATTTAATGTGCATTCCTTCGCAGCGGAACGCCTATGGTAAATAGAACCCGCACCGATTCGACTTGACCAATAAAGTTTTAGAGAATTTGTCCCGCCGAACGATTTTTTTCAGCCCTCGTAAAAATCCCCGATCGCCATAGGTTGCTCAGGACGCGATCGAGTGGTGCGTATGTAGTTGCCACGGGCTTACGTAACTTCCACCCGGCCATGGTTATTGTTAAACTAAATTTGCGTTTTGTTTGTATTTTCAACCAGCGTTTTCGTTCCTGTATCGTTTTGTTTATATTCATAAGTTTTGGGTAGAGTAGATTTTGATCTTGGAATCAGTGTCTGTGTGAGGGAGAACGATTTTGATCTCCAAGGCGGTAACATAGAATGTTTCAGCTGAGAATTTTTGCAAGTGACCGGTAGGAAATTTCCTGATTTCTCTGAAGCAGCAGATGACGATTGGCCGGAAAAAATCCAGTCCCAGTATGATCGGATCGTCAGACCTAGCTATTACAAAGCTAGTACGATCCTTCCGAATCCGGTCCCAGAATTTTGCAACATTCAGCAAAGACATCGTTAAGTAATGTTACCTGAAATAACCGTAAGTTGAATATTTTATTTTCTAAGAGATTGTTGTCAAAATGTAATTTGCTTGAATTAAAAACACCCTGTGTTAATTACATGTATTGGGTACAGACTGACCATACATGAGCATGATTTGCAGATCAGTATGAGATTTTCTTGATGTGTGACAATTGCGAGCGTGATACATGGTGTTTCAAACGCAATGCAGTTTTGAGTAATTTCTGACAGTTACAGACAGTGACAGTTCTGACAATTACAGTAGTAGACATGAAACTTGCACATGACAATATTGAATTATTTGTATAGATGGGCGTAACCTTTGGCATTTGAGAATTCCCTTTACACCCACTCTAAGTGTACGTACAATAGTTCCGGGTAGCCTAACACTTGGAGTCAAGCTTTCCTTGAGAGAAGACTACGCCGGACTCAGTAACCTGGCTGGAACGCCATGGAACCGGCCGAACGCACTGAGGGTAATCTCATGTCAGGAACTTATTTCATCAACATAACGAAGTTACCAATTTTCAATAATTAAGTACATAGCCCTCTCGGAAATCTAGTAGACGAGTAAAGTACCTGTAGTAAGTCATAGGACAATTATTTCAAATTTAAGGGCCCATTATACTGATTATTCGTTTAACATCAGCATCATTGTAAATAGTGTACATATTCTGGAATTGTAAATATACAAGCCCAAACTGTACAAACTGGTTCCAAGTCATTTTTTTCCATGTGTCGGAAGTATCTTTACCTGGAGTCATCACTAACATAATGATCCAACTTTCAGTTTAGAGAAGTGGTGACATCAAGTTCCAATGAATAATAGTTCATTGGTATCCGAAGTGGAGAACGATTACTTCATCTGGAATTCTGAGTGAGAACCGTAGTTAGTTAACGCACGTCTGGTCTACCGAGTTGGCATTGCTGAGCGTCGTGACACGTAATCGCTCGACCGATCTGTGCTGAGCTGATTTTGAGTGGTCGGGGAACACTGACTCATTAGTGGATCCTGGGGGCCAAACGAAGTCCTGCCCCCCCCCCCAAAAATAGGCAGATTTTGCGTTGTTTTCCTCTTAAATGAGAGGACTAATGACCTTAAAGACCGCATTTAAAAATGTCAAATTGTTTGCCACTCAAAAAGGAATAAATTTTGGAGGCTGTAAAATTGGGTTCTGGGTCCTTCCTGGACAAAAGTTGGTTTTGATAGAATATGACTGTCGTCAGAACTGAAATAAATGTCTTTATAACCCTCTACATGCTCTCTTTACCGCCCTTGTATTTCCTGACTATTAAGACAGCATTTTCTCGTAGTTTTTAAATCCTGAATATCCTGCTTGTAACTCTATTGCAGGTTTGTGGCTTACTCCTATGAGATATCCTCAGGACCGGAGGATTTGCAAGAGTCCAAGCGGGAAGTTGTGCTAAAGGGCAGACCTTTCAGGAGGTTGAGGACAGTTGAGCCACCAATAGTGCGGCTTGTATCCAGACATTAATATGGGCAGAAAAGAAGACTGGGTGCATAGCGTGGCGTCGCGTATTGTGTGGTAAGCGATTACAAGAAGCGAACTAAAGCAGACCTTCAAGTGAAGCCAACCCCCCCCCCGTCATGTTTTGGTTTAACTTAAAGAGAATTTTTTTGCCGAAGTAAAATTTGAGATAGTCCAAAATTAATATATAAATCACAAATTATTAACTATTCGACCCGAGTAAATTCGTCCAATGAGATTATGAAATTAAACTATGATCACTGAATTTAAACATAATTCTTTCAAAGCAACTTTAAACAAATGACTATTTTTTTACAAATTAGTGTATTCATCCTATTCCAAAGGAATACGGTGAAAGTATTAAACTGAGTACTTTCGATAGGAGGGAATGGCCTTTGGGTTTGTTTCTGCTTGAGTGAAAGATTTCTCAACTTTGCAGCTCTTTTTTGCCTAGTAAAGTGCTGAAGTTGTTTGAAATTTAACAAATCCTTTATACACAAAGTTTATTCAACCTCACCTGTATCGACACAAAACCCACTATCACAGTGTGCATTTTGTCAACTAACAAAATCATTCCTGCTTTTCAAAATAGTTATATTGTTAATGTAATGGTGTAGTACTTCATCAATGAAACATAAAGCTACAAAATTATCCTGCGGTTAATAGGTGCTTTATAATGAATAGAAGTTGACGCCGCACTCATGGCAAATTCTTCCAATGAATTGGGGCAATATAATATAACAGTTTTTATGACTTTTCACCAACGTGGGGTAAACAAGAGTTTGTTTAATCATTCTCATAAAACCCTTTGATGTGCCTCTTGTTTTTCAAACCTGGTGTAATGTAATTTCTGCAGCTGAATATATGCACGTAACGGTATCTGTAAGTGGGCTTCATTGGCCTGTTTGACCTGCTTAGCCGCACAGTCTGCGCGATTACGTCTGGGGTTATAGAGGTGAAACTTCCATAGATGGCAGAGTGCAGAATTTGAGTGCAGAGTGCTAGAAATTAAAATGTGAAATCTGAGCGCTCATTGAAGGAAAAATTTGGCCGAAATGGATAATAAATGCAACATTGGGATGGGACTAATACATTATCAATAGAAAATGGGGAGAGTGTGGAAAGACCGTGAATAGCACAATGAATCATTCTGACACGTGCGGTGTTTGTTGCTAACTTCACCAAACGATCTTATTGAGACACATTCTATACCTACTTGATTAACTTCATTCGATGAATAACAAAACTGTATTTCTACGGAACATCTTCGAGTAAAGATGGATCAAATTCGCCTATATTTATTACAGAAACAAATATTGTCCTTCGGTTGATTAAACACCCAGACCAAAAAATCCACTAAAACATTTAAACAGGTACATGTAGTACACAACATAGTCCTAAAACTTCACACATCAATAATTTAAAAACCATATAAAATTAATATGCATATTAAACACCTTTCGAAGTAAGTAGATTTTCAGTTAAGATTTGAATCAACAATATTTTGTTGCATGAGCAGTAATAAATGATCTGTCTCAACTTTGCTTTTTTTGATGAGGGTATGTACACATATACATTTGATCTGAAAACCGGAGAGAGTACCGCAGTTGGTTGACGTTATTGAAAAATATCCACAAAAATTAATAACCAGGGCAAAGTTTTATGCAATTATTTGAATACGATCAACATAATTTGGAACTGAATTTGATAGATAATTGGTAACAGTGCCTTTGATGCAAACATGGAGTAATGAGGCAATATGTTATGTACCAATATTTGGGTTGGTTGCAAATTGAGTTTACAACTGTGTTTCGAACACGATAAAGTCGGCCAAGAGGACACTGAACGATTCTGCACAATAAACTAAACAACTGAAAGATTGCCTGTAATGAATTCAAACACACGTTTTCCTGATCTGGATCAACAGCCCTTAAACAATTTTGACACTTCCTAATAAATGTTACTGGTGGGCTCAAACTTCTTTAAACCGGTAAAACAGGAGCTTCCAATACAATGGGAAAATGCCCAGTTTGTTGTGACAAGTTAACTAACCTAGAAATCACCAGCAAAAGTATGTTGACGCACTGCTTAAACAAAACAGTAAATATTATTACATTATTACTATTATTATTATTATCACTTATATTTATCCACGATGGCTTATTCACCAAAAGTTTTCTTCCATAAGGCCCTGTCATCAACTAAAAAGGAAATTGTACTTAAGATATTAAAATATAAGAAAACATTTAAGGAATAAAAATAAAGTACATGTAATAAATTTCTGAAAGTGTATAAAACAGAAAATACATAAAACGGAAATATATAAAACAGAAAATAAAACTGTGATAAAAAAATTTATACCTTAAGCCAGCAACTAAAACAGAAGACAACTGATCACAGAAGACAGAATAAAATCTATATACAAAAAACATGCCGTAAAGAAATTAATCAAAAGTAAAAAAACATAGAATATGCATAACATAAACAAGATAAAAATTACATGAGGAACACTTTCAGGGATACTTTAAATCTAAAAACAGAATTTGAGGGTCTAACTGACTGATCTAGCTTGTTCCATTCGTAAATTCCAGTGACAAACAGGCTATTCCTCAAACGTTCAGTTTTACATCTTGGTGCAACAAGTGAATTCATAGCATGTCTGGTGTTGTAGTTGTGAACCTGGTTAGCTTGGGTAAAATCAGGAGTCAAATAGGCCGGAGCCAAATGTAAAAGTATTTGTACAAATTAGTACAAATTAGTAATGGTAATTATTAGTACAGCCCGATTATATTGAAAGCGTTTGCTCAAAGGTTTCCATTTTAACTCACGAAAAAGGTCGGCGGACGAAGAATCATAATTCTTGTTTAATTAAGATTATTCTTGCTGCACGCTTTTGAAGCTTTTCAAGTCTGTTAGTGTGCATACGAAATCTATCTGACCATACCTGTGAAGTATAAGCAAAATGGGGCTGAATAAACGAGTTATAGAGTAGGGTCCAGCATTCACAGGGAACATGGTTTAGCCCTTCAAGCATGCCTAATTTAGATTGCACAGTTTTAGTAATTTTATCCACCTGTTGGGTCCAAATGTAGTTCCTCGTGAATTAAAATCCCAAGACAAGTAACCTGAACACGTTTTACAGTAATACCATTAACAATTACATTAAAATTCTCAGTATTCTTTAGCTCAGTTTTGCCCAATAATCATAACGTTAGTTTTATCTAAATTAAGAACAGGTCTGTTGGCGTTTATCCAATTCATCACACGGCAAAAACCGTTGGTCAATTTTTCCTCTATTTCACCAGCATGCGTTCCCTTAACCGTAAGCGTAGTGTCATCGACATACATGTCAATAATTCCATCACTCACAGAATAAGGCAAGCTATAGATAGAAAACAATAATGGGCCCAAAATAGATCCCTGTGGGACTCTTGTTCTAACAACCAAAGTATTTGAGGTTGTACCTTTGAAACAAACACTTTCGGTGAGATCATCAAGATAAGATCGAAACCATTTTAGAAAAGTTTCGGAACAACCTAGCGAGCCAAGCTTAGTGAGTAAAAGATCAGGGTTAACCGTATAAAACGCTTTTCTGAGATCAATAAATGCAACACCTGTTAGTTTACCTTCACCAATATTCTTAGACCAATTATAGACAAGTTTAACCAGAGCAGTGGTGGTCGAGTGAAATGGCCTAAAACCAGATTGAATGTCATGGAAGAGATTGTTGTCACTAATAAACTGGAAAAATTGATGGTACACTGCTCGCTCTATCATTTTACTTAATATTGGCAACACTGAAATCGGTTTGTAATTATTTAGACATGATTTATCACCAGCTTTATGAAGCGGGAGAACTTTAGCACTTTTCCATGCATTTGGAACACGACCTGTATAAAGGGACATATTAATAATGTACGTCAAAGATTTAACCACAATAGGGCAAGCTAATTTAAGGAGCCGACAGCTTATGTTATCGTTGCCCGTTGCTTTCTTGACATCCATTTTAGATATTTTATCAATGACAAAATATCAGACACTGGCTCAAGGTGAAAGGTCATCTCCGGTTCAATATCTGGCGTTACCTCGTTTGTAATTCCTGTATTTAACTCACAGGCTGGTACATTAGCAGTAATCTTAGCAACAGAAGAGACAAAATGATTATTAAATGCAGTAGCAATAGCCAAAGGTGAGGTACAGTCTTCGTTATTAACCTTTACGGTGTTAGGCGTAACAATATCTGAGCTTGGGGTGATTTCCTTCAAGTATTTCCAGATAACTTTACTATTCTGCGCATTCTCACGAAGAATACCACGATAGTAATCAATTTTACATTTTTTTGAACATGTGGGTAACCTTACTACGCAGAACCTTATAAGCATCCCATGCTTGCGGATCATTTTACCTCAAAGCTACGTTTTGGGTACGATCTCTATCATTCCCCAGCCGAATTACCTCATTAGCAATCCAGGAACAAGCATTCTTACGGATTCTTCTGGTGCGAATAAGTAGATTTACAATGGACATGAACAGAGTAACCCAGGTATCAAGAGTAACATCAATATCACCAATATTAATAAGATCATCCCAGGGGACATACCACAAATCCTCTTTAAAACCCTCCTCAGCGAAGTGTTTAAATGAACGAAAGTTAATACACTGATTAGTACAATTTAAATTTGTTTTAAAACTTCTAACGGCATAAATTAAAAAAATGGTCACTAATACTTGTATAAAATAACCCATGATCTCGATAGAACTGTGGTTTGTTAACAAAGATTTAATCTATGACAGTTCTGCTATGGCCAGTTACTCTAGTGGGCGTATCAATCAATTGAGTAAAATCACTGGAAGAGGTAGAAAATTGTAACTCGCAGCCATGATTATCAGTTTCAGAAGCAGAAAAGTCGTAACTGAAATCACCAAGAATGATACACTCCATGCCATAGGTAGACACCTTATCGATCTTTCTTTCAAACTCATTATTAAAATCGTAAGTAGCACTGGGTGGCATATACAAAGATCCAACAAGGCACGGGGATTTGTGCGGGTGGCAC